GTGGTGGTAGTAGTAGTAGTGGCAGTAGTAGTGGTAGTAGTAGTAGTAGCAGCAGCAGCAGCAGCAGCACCAGCAGTAGCGACGGCGTCAGTTCCTGTTCTTCCTTTCGAAACAGATCCCGAGCCCCGTGGGTAATCTTAAAGATCCCAGTCACCCACAGGGAGATGTAAGGCCAAATGAGGGCGACGAGTTGTAGTGGCGACGTGGGCACCAGCCGCCCTCCGATCAGAAACGCCTGCACGAACCTGGCAAGGACAGCTGCATTATATTGTATGATATCATATCATATTTCTTTGTACGACACTATATTACCTTATACGTCCCTGTACTGTGTTGCACTATACCATGTTTTACTACGTGAAAATCACAAAATATTCTGTCTGTGTGCATATATATATATATACATATATATATATATATATATATATATATGAGTTACATCATATGCTAACATGTTGAAACGGGGTGCTTACTCGAGCCGAAGGCTCTGTTGGACATTATTTAAAGCCCAGGCCCAAGCTAATCTCACTGACCTTCTAGACCGGACACCCTGGGCTTCACACTACAGCCGTCCACTTTAAAAGCCCGACTCTACCGCCACCGCAGCACCGAATCCTCCGCCCAGTGGCTTCGCGTCATGCGGGACAAAGTCCTTAGCTGATTCAGTACTCCTTTCTTGCCTGAGGACTTGTGGAATCGCCTGAAGGTCTGTGTAAGCCTTTCTGTGTAAGCCTGAACCCTGAATCCTAAAGCAAAAAAGCTCAGCCTCACCCGAGCCATGCCCTCGAGGGCTCTAGGGTGAGGGCTGAGGGGCATCATGTCGCGGCCTTCGCATTTCCCATGGGTTCTGGGGCTGGGCCGGTGATGTATCTGAATCTTGACTAATTACTCTGACTGTCTCAGGGGACCCTTTAAAAACAACATGATTGACTATCCAGGCTCTTGTGTTATCAGGTGCACAAGCGTTTTGTCACGACTTGTAAACCATGTTTTCGGCACTGGTGCCTGACGAACACAAGTGTCGGGAGCTGCCATGTGAAGGGTTTCCTAGAACCCTCAAGAATGGGCTGGCTGCCTCTTGAATACTACGGTGGGCGAAAACGGCGAATCATGCACGCTTTGGGTTATTCAAACGGCTGTACAAAAGCCCTGACTGAATATTTACAGCACGCGTTGACATGTAGTTCATGATCCCATCCCGTCAGTTCTCAGATGCACAGCTTCCCAAGGCCATGTGTTCGATACTTCGTTTTGTTTTCATTCTTAAGCGCCCGACCATGCATATGGGTAGTTTTCGAAATTAGCGTCTTTTTAGGGTATAAGGGGGCCTAAAAGGAACCCATAATTTGGAGACTCACAAGACCGAAGCTGTCCTAAACCCGAACCACCAAACCCTAGGCCCGACGGCCTAAACCGCAAGACTTTAAACCCCCAAACTGTAAACCTAAAGTGAGCCCTATAAACCCTTGCTTACACAGGCTTGAGTGGAGCACACGCTATAAACCCTAGACCCTAAACCCAAACCCACGCGAAACATCTGCAAGCCAGACACGAAATCGATGCCCATCTGGTATTTGTACGCGACTTCCTGGGCTAAAGGAATCTCTGTGGGTGTTGAGAGGCCCAAAGTTTAGGAGGTTGCAGGGGTTTCTTTGCCTCCCACCCAGCTATGACGAGTCCGCATTGCAGGGTTAAGTCAAGAGAACAACGGTAGCTTGGCGTGTTTAGGTTTGGGGTGTAGGAGGGCCTAATTACAGAGTTTGCGGGGATCCAATCGATGTAGCGGAACCATCTGGCACAGAGTTTCAACATCCTCCGTTCAAGGCTCCTCTGGGTCTTCTCAAAACTACGGGCACTGCCGGATGTAGAGGGATCCTACTATCTTTGGTCTATATCAGGGTCCTTCAAAATCCTGAAACGCCAACAGTAACATCTTCTCTGTAAGCGGACATGGAGAGAGTCACAGGTCCTGGCTATTTCAGTCTCAGACTTCGGCTGCTGCTTTTGCAAGGATGGAAGCATGCGTTTGGTCTGAAAGGTCATCTGAGGGTTTAGGGTATATAAGCTGAAGGGTTTGCAGTTGAGGGTTTTAGGTGTTAGGGCTGCAGGGTTTAGAGCAGCAAAAGCCCGAGCGGCTGCCACCATGCAGGCTGGCAAGACCGCTCCGAACATGGCATCGACGAATGCGTCGAAGAGCACCAGAAAGAACGTGTTGCGCTGCACGCCTTGTTCTGGTTAAAGCCCGGCAGTCGCCTACACAAAACTATATGAACACTAGCTTAGACCATGGGTCCCATTTATGGCAGGAAGTTTACTTCTTCATGCTGTCATACTATGCTACAGAAAAGATCAAAGTTCATCAGACAAACCTCGTCCCCTGGGAACTGTGGTAAGCGGGTGCAACACCTGGCACTACATGGTTTACCCATACAAACCCCCTTCAGCACCGCAACCCCCCCAAAGGCTGACAGCTTGCCGCAGACAATGATCCGACCGAGAGAACAAGGGCTTCCCAGGTCCGAGCCAAGAAGCTCGAAGACAAGTGCAGGAGTGGGGTTACCACGGAATTCAAGCAAATCCTGAGGCAGGACTATCGTTTCAGGCGTTGGGACTCAGGAGAGAGAGGAACAAAGCCCCTGGAACTTCCAGCAGGGTTGTAGGGGCCATCATCAACCCTTTTTTGCAACAGGCTTTCCACTTCGCCCCCATCATCAACCCTAAACCCTAAACCCTAAACCTCAGGATCTTCCGACTTTGGCTCGTTCCCTAAACCCTAAACCCTCATTGTAGGTAGGGTTATAAGGCCCTGTCGCGATCAGTGGAGCTCAAAGCTGTCTGCCCAATCACTGCGCAAGAACCATCCAAGCCGACATCACGTATCGGTTTTGGGTTTTTTGGGGTTTATCCTTCCTTAATTTATAGACCCTAAACCGATATGTGATGTCGGCTTCGATGGTTCAGGGTTTATAGGACTGTTGGGGTTTAGGGTTTAGGTATCCCGAAACCTTACTTTTCATAGGTAGCTCTCACCAGGCTCAGAGGTAACAACATCGGGGAGGTGCGCGAATTAGCGATTGAAAAATGCTGTCCCTGCCCTTTTGGGTTTAGGGTTTAGGGATTTTTTGCTGAAAACTGACATTTACAATTCGCCATGAGGAATGATCCCTGAAGGAAACCCTCAGGGTGAGGTTTCCTTACCTACAAGCACAGTCTGTCGGACAAACAAACAAACAAGCCCGTGACCCCTAAAGTCTTGACCCCAAAGTCCTTTGATCCACACGTGACCTTACAGGCGTGCGCACATACACAAATACACATACAGGAATGGATAGAACAAAACATATGTATATATATATAGAGAAAGAGAGATGTGCGCATCTAGAAACATAAACAGATCAAGATAGACAGTTCGAGCGGCAGATAGGCTATGTTGGACTAGATTAGATTAGCCAACTTGCTATGAACAGATGAAAGTCCTCAACACGGCGTAAGCCCACCAACATCGAACACACAAGGTCTCAGCGATGCTAAGGCCTAAACTTTGGGGGCGGCGGGGTGCCGGGGTACTAACACACCTCTACTGACCACCCAGCAAAGCAGTTTCAACACCGCAATCTTTGACCGGGAACTCAAGGTTCGCACGGCTTCGGGGTAACCCTAAGCTATCCTGAAATCTCACACCTTGAACCTGGAATGAAGGCCTAAGAGCAAACATCGAGAACTGGGTGTGTATATCCCTGTATGCATATGTATGTGTACATACACACGCATATCTATATCTATATCTATATCTATATCTATATCTATATCTATATCTATATCTATATATATGTACAACACCAAACCTTTAAGCAGACAGAACCCTTACAGCCTCACAGACTCCTTACCAAAACCAGAACAGCAGAACCCCTGATCCCACATTTTAGCCAAGGGGCAGGATGGCGTAGGAACAAATCCAAAGGTTGGCTTGGCCCAGGTAGAGCCTTACAGCTTTTTTTCTGCTGACTTTAGAGGTCTGAACGGGTCTCAATAATCACTATTGCTGACATCTTTTTTGGGGGGGGGATAAGTCTCTGAGGTTATGGTACCTGTAGCTTATACCCCCAAACCCTCCCCATACTAGGCTTCAAGAATCTGGGCGGCTCTGTGGCTTCGAGTGTTCGAGGGTTGGGACATTGAGGCTCGAAGGGTTAGGGCTTGCGGAAGCTACTATTTAAGGTCTTTAGGGTTTAGGACTCTAGAAGTCCAAATAACTGGTATATCATAAGTATAGGCTCCCAAGCCCCAAACCCTCGGCACTCAAACGCATCCGAAAACTCCTGAATCCGACACCAAAGTCGGAAGCACAATGTAGATGGCCCAAGTGTGGCTTCTACGTGTGCAGTATCCTAGAGTTCTGCAGCGAAGACCCCTAGAACGGCGAATTCGTTGGCTTGGGGCTAATTTTGGACGATGACAGAATGCTAGCATCACTTCTCTCTCGCAACAAACCATGTCGTCTCCAACCGACACTTCTGGTCGGCTCTCCGATTTGGTGTTTGAAGTGGGGCCAGTGGTCTTCTGAGTTCTCTCTCTCTCTCTCTCTCTCTTCTCTGCCTTGGCGTGTACGTGCCTGATTGCATCGAGGTACAAATATACATGTCATATACACTTACATGTGTACTCACATGCGTTTAAGCCTCTCTCTCTCTCTATATATATATACAAGATATTTTGCATAAAAAATTCCACATCCATTGCACAAAGTGGGTTTTAAGTATGCTGCTGTGACGATATGATCTCCACGCCCTCCTTTAAACCCCACCACAATGCAGGAGTCGAACTCTGTTGCCTGAGCTGTGTAGAAGGTATCCCTACACCTCGAGCGCCCTGAAAACAATAATGACAAGTTATAAGATCTCATCATCCCAGGGGGCTAGAGCAGAGTACGAAGAACACTAACCCGAAGCTTCAAACCCTAAACCCGCAAGAAACAGTCTGCGAAGTCCCACAATCTGGTTCAAGAGCTGCAAGACCTGAAGGAGCTTCCACTCTCGGTTTCGAGTTTGGGCTGTTACGGATTTCTTGCCGAAGCCCTAAACCCTAAACCCCAGGCTTCAGAGTTTCAGGGATTGGGTTTAGTGTTCATGGTTTCGGGCTTATGGCCTGAGGCTCCAGCACGCTTGAAACAAGGTGTGAATGTCGGACTGATGGTATGGTTTAAGGGTCACACTTAGTACATAGCTATACTGCAACTGTACTAGAATCTAGTATGCTATATTTGAACTTGTTCCCGATTCTGATTATCAGGCGGCGCCGGACCCGATCGGAAAGTTGGGTAGTTCAGGATGTACGGTTTCATGCGGCTTTGGGAGCCTTGCTGAAGGATAATAAAACATGAAGACATCTCGAACTATCCACCCAGCCACACCCACACCCACATACTACTGGCTTTTTGGACAAAGCGGCACGCTTGCAAGAAGCCAGTTTGTAGTGCAAAACCCTAAACCCTAAACCCTTTTCTAATATCAGGCTTGCATGTCGCGCCTGGCTATGTTGAAGGCCTAAACCCTAAACCCTAAGCCCAAGGAGGGAAGAGTTCAGAGGCGCTCCGGACCAGCATCAACGCTGCTGGTCCCATAGCATTCGATGTACAAATCACATGTGAACTCCCTTGACTAATATAGGGGCCTAAATGTTATACTATAGACTATAGATATAATATTATATAAGGAACCCCTAAAATAGTATAGGCTCCTATATTATACTGTTAGGGTTTGAGGCGTCTTTTGCTCCAATCCCGAAGACTATGGTGCATCGTTTCGACATGACATGTGCCTCGATATACCGGTTCAGGCTGTCAATTTGTAGGGTCTGGGATGATTCATTTCACAGCTACATTGTAGCTACATGCACCTAAATCTGAGCAACTACACCTGAAAACCCCACCCCTAATCACTTCACTCCTAAACCCCAAAACCCCTCATCCCTGAAATCTCACTGGAGCCCCAAACCCTCGCGCCCCCCGATGCCAAAGCTTCAGCTCCACACCCTAACTCCAACGGCCCAAGATTTCAAACTGCAAGCCGCAAATCCTGAAACCCCAACCCCTACTACAAACCCCTCCTCCAAACAAAAACGAAAGACTTACACAACGGCGAAAGTTTCGTTTCAAACTTCCGCGAACATGATCCTGAAATCAAAATCCCGAAGCATCCCCACAGTGCCTCCAGGCAAGCAGATTTCGCATGAAAGTGCTTCCTCGAAGGCAGGAAGGGGAAGAGGGTTCGGGATTTTAGGGCTTCCGGGCTTAGGTGTAGGGCTTAGAGCGTGTTATATTCCTTGGCTTGAGAGGGCTTGGCTTTAAATTTGGGGCTTAGCCTTGGGGGTTAGGGTTTCGACTCTCACCCTCGTAAAAGGCGCGTTTAGGGTGTTTTGGGGGTCGTCGGAGTCTTGCGGAGCACAAGATTTCGAGGGTTCCGGGCGCGGCAACAAGAAGGTTCAGACAGGTGATTACTTGGATGTCGTGACCGAGAGGCTAGATCTCACCAGTTGAAAGGGGGGGGCGGTTGTTGAACACGGGGTCCGTTATTTGCGGGTTGTTCTGATCAGGATCTTAGAGTCTAACTAAAGTATGTATGAGTGGCCTGTCAACCAAACCTTCACTCACGCTGCAGTGAAGCAGGCTGATTGGCACTTCGATTTCGGTGAACATTCATAGCCAGCCAACCGAAATTTGCTAGAGACAGCAAAGCCGCGATGTTCGAATTTCCGAAGTAAACCCTGATTCCTAAGCATTTAGGGCCAATTCCGAAAAGCAGGTTCAGCTAGGAGTTCAAGCTTTCTCTTTGCACCATAAATTTCTGACAACCCTACCACCTAACTGAAAGTTCTGATTGGTTCGAAAGCCCTTCCGAGATCTCATGCAGTAGTACCATGTACCCCATAAGATGGCATACGTCACATAGCACAGCATACGACAATGCATTATTGCACAAGTTAAAGCAACAAACGTCGGAAACTGGGGCCCTAAACTCTGAAACCCTTTTACACAGGCTTCCCTAAACCCGAAACCCTTAGCCCGCTTGACGCAGGACCCTAGACCCTAAAGCCTAAAAAGTAAACCCTAAAGCCTAAACCTTTTTTTACACAGGCTTGATTGGAGCTCGCCCGGGCTTTAAACCCTGAACCCAGACCCTAAACACTAAAGCCTAAAGCCTAAACCCTAAACCCCCTGAACCCTAAACCCTAAGCCAGGGGGCCCGGAAGCTTTTAACTCCTCAGTCCAGCTTCTCGCAGCAGCAAATGTTCCGCCTCACATAAGAGGGCTCAAGCTCCAAGGTTTATCGGGTTGAATGCTCAGGATTTAGAACATTAGGGGTCCTTAGGGTTTCGGGTTTAGGGTTTAGCACTTAACTTTCGGGATTTAGTGGCCCTTTGATTCAAGGGGTTGAAGGCGTCTTTAGGGCTCAGAGTTTCGGGGGCACCAGGGGCTGTTAGGGGCCGTAGCAGTTGCAGAGTCGTTCCTCATGACTCATGCCTCGTTCGCTTTTACAGCCGGTGAGTCTCCGGTCCATAGGCTGTGCGGGCTTCGTCATGAGAATTTAGAGCGTTATGGTTTCTGGGGGTATAAGAGCTTTAGTGTTTAGGGCTTCGGGCCATGGCACAACTTGTGTTGATGTGTACCAATGGATTTTGCGGACATGCAGTTGAGGTGTGTGTGTGTGTACATTGCTTGCAGTCTTGCGCGCCTACAAGTTTGCATAAATAGCCATGTGGTCATGTGTATACATATATATATATATGTATGTATGTATGTATGTGTGTATGTGTGTGTTTGCGCGTCTATATATATATATGTATATGTATACATATATATATATATATATGTGTGTGTGTGTGTATATATATATATATATATGTTAAAATAGGTGCATGCAGACGCATAGATGTAAGTACCCAGGAACTCTGTGCGTTTCAACAGCAACCAATTTGCAAATGCTGAACCACAATGAACCATAGCAGCACGTCCTCCAGTCGCTACAGAATGATGCAGCCACTGGGCCAGAACCCCAAACACAAACCAGCCCCAAACCAACATCCTGAAACCTAAACCTTACGCCTTACTCCTCAAGCCCCCAAACCCCGAAAGCCCCGAAAAGCTGCAAAGACTGACACGCCAGTGATCCTGAAGCCGTCAACCACCCAGGGCTAAGAGCTAGAAGGTTAGGGTTGAGGGTTTTTTTTCCTCTCGCACGGCAGAGAACTATGCTCACAGCGAGGTTTAGGGGTTTAGGGTTTGGGGTATAGGGTTCGGGTAGCAGACTGGGCCTAAAATGCGAGGGATCCGTTTCGTATGCCGCAACCTCGCATAAATTGACTGAAGAATGAAACGGTCAACGTCGTATGGCGTAGCGTTTCGAGGTATGATATACACAACAAGGAATCCTGAACACAGTCTTACTACTCATTCAGGCTTCTAAGTTAGAGCCCTATTCGCATCTCGGAAAGGCTGTCAGGATGCAGTGATTGGGCATGATGAGAGCTAAAGTTTCAGAAATCAAGGGTTTCATTTTCGGGTCCTGACGACAAGGATGCTTCTGTTTGGGTCTACAGTATCGTCTAAGGCCGTTTAGGAATATCATACAAGCCAGGTCTACAGCCCAGTTAAACAAATGTGGTCGCTTCAAGTCCCAGCCGCTAGAGTTACCCAGGGTAACCCGCGTCCGGCGACTTTGATTCGCCGTACCGGATGCTTTGAGGCCGGTCAGGAAAAGCCCCCTCAGAGATGGGACAGCATGTTTAAACATCTCCACAACATGAAGGCAACAGTGCCGCTTGTATTTTTTTATTTAGAAACTGACAATGGCGGTATAACCACAAGTGGCTCAAATAGCACATAGCCAGCAAATCTATATGCATGTAGGTATGCATGCATGCATGCAAGCATACCCTATAGACCCCTAAACCGATGCCATGTGAGGCGATGTAACGAAACGGAATGCAATGTATGCTAGATAATGTAAACGTTATACTGCAAGGCAATGCATTGTAATGCAGCATGTTGCAGTGCACTGCAATGCGTACTGCAATAAAGAATAATGCTGTGTACGCATATGCATTCCGGCATTCATGCATGTGTATGTAAAGCGTGCAGAGCATCCTATGTAGTTGTGCATACATCTGTACATGCGGCTGTGTTTGTGCTCGTGCTCGTGCTTTTCCGGTAGGCACATACATGTAATTACATGTATGTATGTATGTATGTATGTATGTATATATATATATAAATGCACACATGCCTACACAGGTAAATATGAAGATCAGGGTGTGTATATATACAGATATATTTGTATCTCATCCAATTTACGCGGGCCGGCAGGGCACCAAGGTCTGCAAATGAACGCATTAGTAGAAGTAATAGCACAGAGTTAATAGCTGAACTAGACACACAGTTGGTATAGAATGGTTTACATACTCATACGAGCGTATGTACAAACACACAAGCACACACACATATATATATATATATATATATATCCCGATGTATGTACATATATATATATATACACAGACATACATTCACTTCCCGTTGGATGCCCGGAAAAACAACTCAAAAGTTTCGCTTGGGTTATCAGGAATTATACTGTGCTCTGCATATATTCATGTACATATATTTATATATAACTATATATATTCACGTAATATACATAGCAGCACAGAAGAAGAACATGCAACAATTCCTGCATGTCATCTTCTAGCACCGACACAATTCCTGATCGTGTTCCCGGACTGGGGCTGAACGCCAAACTCTTACAGGCCTGCGTTCCTGTGGAATGTATGTTTTAACATGTTAGTCACGACTGTTAGTCTCTCTTGCAGGAAAGGCACCGTACCGTAGCCACCGCCAACAAGCAGAAGAGAAGCGGCGACAGCACGGGATATCTCGGGCTGAAGAGGATGACCAAGCGCCTTAGGCTTGTGGTCTGTGCGGAATGCAGTTAAGTTCGACTTCGCACAAAGCTCCGGGTAGCAGGCATACTTCGCGCATGAAAATGGCGATTCGAAAGCCCCTGTAACTTGTCTTGCTCAGCACGGGACAACAATCAAACATCCACATGTTTCACTTTAGCCACAGCCAGCAAATAGTCTGTGATGACATGACACCAGTTTGCCCTGGCAGCTGTTTCGCATCAGGCAGGCAGCTATAATGGTCACTTCACAATACCACACCTGCTTCCGGGAAACAGACGGCTCAAAGCTGCAAAGCTCTTGCTCGTCTGAGCCAGCTCTGACATTGCTGCCCCCTTGTATGTTGAGAGGAAGTTGGAATGCTACGGTAGCCTTCCTTTAGCAAGGATTCAAATGTTCGGCACATGGCAAATTGAGGAGCTGGAGGGTCTAGGGTTTGGGGCGTGTAGTGCACAGTTTAACAGGTGCAAAGAGGTCAAAACGATGTGGCAGATGGTGACGCGGAAAGTTATTAGGATAGCGAAGATATTGCTGTGCCGTTGCTGCCGCACCTCTAGGCTTTGATTGAAGTAAAGGCCCTAAAGCCTAAATCCTCAAATCTCTTGTGCTGGCATGTACGCTGCGGCAGAGATCGCATTTCCGTGACAAGCGACTCCTCGACAGCGGCCCAGATGTTGAGCGCTGCAAGCGATATCCTTGCATGCGAGCACCCAGCTAGGACATGTGGTACAATAATACTCGTAGTGCTGTAGTAATAGTGCATAGTAGCAGTGACCGATAAAGGTAATCATGAAAAATAGCAAGAGATGTGTGAACAACTTTGGATGCAGGGTTTCCAAGGCCATGTCCGATTGTCAAAACCAGAGATGAGAAACATATAATGTCATCTATGGTGTTATAGAGCGATATAGACAGGCTGATGTAGCGGCCTTAATAATTAGAATAGGGTTTTGGGGCCCATGATACTGAACCCCCCCCAAGTAGCATGGGTACTTATTTAGGCTCCTATATTACCGAACCATGGCTGCCATGACTGTTGCTTCGACCGGCAGGAAGCCTCCTTTGGCCTGCACCACATTTCTCAGACGCGTGCGAAGGAACGCGTCAAAAGACTACTCAGGGCTCTAGCTGCCTAAACGTAGGATACTGGGCCACATAGAAACCTCTAGGTTGCTGGAGCCCGAAGGATTCGTACACAAGCTACAAGCTTTGGAGACTCTGTGCACCCCTAGACAAGCCCACGATGGATAAGGCCCAGTTGTACCCCAATCTCAACCTTAAACGACCCGCATGCTCGAATAAGCTGCGCGATTTTCTATGATGCAGGAACGCAAGTCACTTTAGGTCGGGGTCGAGGGCTCCGGGACGAAATGCCAACGCCAAGAAGCAAGCCAATAAGTGACGTGCTGGCACACAGGACCATGAAAGCCTCTCAAGAGTGTCGTATGGGGCTAATACAGGGGCCTTAGTAGTTGGAATCTGTGATGGTAAGGTATTGGGGCATATATTATACCAAAATTTCATTCAGGAGCCTTAGGGTTTGGGCTCCGGGCTTTGTTCTCGTGGAACAACAGGAAACAAACATGACTCGGGCTTTTGCGAGCCCTGCTGTAACCGTCTGCGTTCGACTTGGATCATGCTCCATGTCCCTAATGCAGGGGCCTTAACCAGCCTTAATCATTAGAATAGGGTTTTGGGCTCCTTTATGGCAGAATTATAACAAGGAACTATAAGTTATAATAAGGAACCCTGTATTTTTTTGGCATCTATACTAATCGAGTTCCCGCACCCAGGCCCCAACTTAACCCCTATTAACACCCAATTGCCCTATAGACCCTGTACTTAAACCCGGAAGATCTGTAGAACCCTGATAATATAGGGGCCTTTAATAATAAGACTAGGGTTTCGGGGTTTATTCTACTATAGTTATAAAAGAGGAATCCCAAGACCCTGTTGAAATTATGAAGGCCCCTACATTAAACACCAAATGGGGGTTTCCGAAAATAGGGAACCCTAATATAGTACCCTCAATGGTAGGATCCTTATTATAAGAACCCCAAAATAAGGTACCCCCAATTTTCGGAATCTCCCAAATCGGTCCAGGCCCTCGGTGCTCTGCCTTTGCGCGCTTCTGGAGCCGCACGCCCTCAAGGTCCACATCCTGTTGGCGCCGGTTCACTAAACTCAAACCCCACAGCAAGGACCCCTGAACAAAAACAACCACAACCCTTTTAGTAACCTTAGACACCCTTATAGTAGCCTTGTAGTATGTTTTATGGTCGCGTGCGTTATAGACCTTATGGTTCCCCTGATTCGTCGGATGCCTATATACTATACGAACCCACTTAGCTCCGGGGGGGGGTTGGGATTCTGGTGCTCTATTGGCGGCTCACAACTTCAACCCTCCTCAAACCATGTGCCGACGACCCCGCACCCCCAAAGGGTCCAAGTAGTAATATGGTAGCTACTTTGTAGGTATTTGGGCCCCAAAAGTATATACCATACTATAACTTGGACCCTTTGGGCACCNNCACCCAAAGCCCCACAACCGCCTTCCTCCAAAATTTCCTGCGTCACGAAGTCCAAACCCGTAAGTTCCGGATGTTGCGGTTCAAGCCAGACGCCATCCAACGAAGCTTGTTTCTAACATCAAGCCCAGTACAATCCATAGCAATAAACCCTATACAATCCCGTTCTTTCTAAACACCCTATGCGATCCAAAGGGAAAACGAGCCCTAAATCCGAAACCCTACGCCAAGCCCCAAAACCTTAAGTTTAGGGTTTAGGGTT